GAGCGGAAAAGTGTGCCAAGGGGGAGGGATCGCAGGGGGTGGAGGAGAGGAAATGATAAGGGGGGGGGGAGGGGAAGGGGATGATCCATTATTGGATATAACACGTTCCACGTGCTAGATACGCGAAGAAGCGAGTAATTTCTGCTATAAGGATCCGCGAGGGCGATCCGATTTCGCAAAATGATCTACAAAATCCTTCAGTGGTCCTGCTCTCTCAGCCTTCGAAAACCTCGCCGCCTCTTAATGAACTCCCGCTGTTCGCGGCGGCCGTTTCTGAACGTCGGTCGGATAGGGAATCCCCGCGGAGTCCATCATTACCGACTCAAAATTAAAGCTAAAGATACAGAAGGGCGCGCGCTTTCATTTTCGGCATAGCTTATTAGTTTCGCGGCGCGCAAAACGTTTGGCGAAGTCCGCGGGGTACGATTCGCAGTAGTCTGGCGATTATTTATCAACGAATTAATAATTGCGACGAAGCACAACCGAATTTAATATAAACGTTCAGCTTACACCCCCCTCTCTAGCTAACGAGGCTGTAATTTCGACCGGTGGATGCGGCGCCTCGTTATTCCTCGTCGAGAAAACGGTTCTTTCCCCGCGTACGAGGCAACCCGCGCTCGGCTGAGGTAGGGCCACGATCACTAATTATTCCCGTATCGTCGAGATCCGTAGCGTCGTGAGCGTAGGAGCCGTATTACGCGCGCATAATGAAACCCGTATTAACGTATTCGCGCACGCGAATACGCGAGCGCGTACCTACATACGTATGGCGCGGACGGCGCGGCGCCCGCGTCGTAATTGTAGCCGTGTAGACACGGAGAGAGCACCGCGACGTCGAACGTAATATTCGACTAATTACAAATTTAATAACCTCGGTTCGTTGCCGGTTATTGCGAGGCCGCGACGTCTAAATGAATCGACTCTACGCTCTCGCACGTTCCGTCCTCCTTTCCATTCGCCTCCTTTGCCTTTTTCCTGACGTTTCCCTCATTTGCCATTTTGCTCCCGCAGATTATCGACGAGTTCGTCGTGGAAAGAGAGTTGGATACGAAACCGCGCGAAAAGTACAGAACTAAGTCGGTTGCCTCTGCGTCTTAATGGACTCGTATTACCAATTAAAATTTAACCATCGTGGAAATTAATTCATTACGCCATTCGAACATTTAATGGCGATATTTTGTCGAGCTGTTATTATGCTCGATGGAACTCTCTATCCTTTTCTCCCTTTTCTGTCACTTTTATATTACAGTTAGATTTTCGTAATATCCATGCTGGCCATTTCGATCACAAGGGTGAAACACTCTTTTTCTCGACTCTTCCTAGTTGGGGAATCTTTACATTTTGCGGCCTGCGAGGTGCGCATATAAAGGCTCTCTCCGTTTCTCTTAACACTGCCGTAACTTATCGCTCGTAGACACAGTATTTCTCTCCGGCTCTTTGAAAGCATTTTCTCATTAAAAAATTAAGGGTAGGGAGGGGGCCGGAGGCAAGCGGAGGGGAGGAGGGCGAAAAGGAGCGAAGCGGTTGCAGAGGGACGAGCGGGAGTGATGGAGAGTGAGGGGGACCGAGTTCGCGGTGCAGAAACGAAGTGTGGGTCTGAGACAGGAGGGTTTTGTGGCGGCAAGCAGGGAAACCGGGGGTAGACGGAGGGGTTGGTAAGTGCTCTGCGGCTCCCAGATGCGCCCAATATTATGTTTAATGATATTAACTTCTTACTTAATGGTCCGCGGTTCGATTCGAGGTGCGAAAGAGTCGCCGGCTCCCCCTCTTCCGAACCGCAGCTCCGAACCGAAGCCGGAAAAAGTATACCTCAGGGAATAATTTGGCGAGTCGAGTACGAAAAGAGTGAAAAAAATGAAAGGGCAAGAGGTACGTGAGAAAGAAAAAGAGAGAAAAGGGAAGGAGACTGAAAAGAAAATGAGAGAAGAGAAATGGATACAACGGTGAAAGAGCCTAATCACTTGGAGAACACGTCCATTTGCCTCTCTCCCTTTTTCCTCTCTCTCTCCTCTCTCTTTCTCTATACTTCTTGTAAAATAAATCCGCGACTACGTGGATGACCTCCGCCATAAACTTCGCAATAAAAGCCACGGCATCGGCGGGCACGTTCCCCTTTTTCTGCAGCACTGCTGCCGAGGGTCGTTCTTGCCCTTAACTCTTTACGCGCGATTAAAGAATCTGTCCCTTGGCCAAAGTGCTTGTACTACGAAACTTTTGTCACTCGAAAATTATTTTCTCTTTGCTGCGAGATAATATTATTTCAAAGAAGCAACCTCATTAATTAGATTGCTTCTTCGCGACAGTGTTAATTATTTTTAATTGTTCTATTAACCGCGATCTGTGAGGAATCGGCCAACAAGAATCAATTATGCTTAGTTGAAGGAACAACGTTAAAGTAATTTTGTTCGAAGCTTTTATCTTACTTGTTTTCGTGGTTTTATAATAAGAATACTGTCCGCGATTTTGCAATCTTCGCTCGTTTCTTATAATGCAAAACCGGAACATCGAGACAGAAATCTTAATGATTCTGAATAAGCCAAGATGGAATCCAGAGGCACGAGTGTCAAACAATATAAAGCTAAGATTAAAAGTTTCTTGTAGCTCGGGAGCGAAAAACCGCGGCGCCGCATTAACGACCTCGTAAACTGGGATGCCCGAGGAAATCGAAACAAAATATGAGTATAAAAGAGGAGCACTTATCGCCTTCGGAAATTCATTTTTCATTCGTCGTGGATATTCTGCTCTTAGAATATTTTTCAATGAATTTGATTAATTTATCATTTGGCGATATAAGCTGTGATTCTTTTATACGTGACGTCATCACGTGATAGGTTAAATAAATGCGAGATGTGTGTCGCGGCGGACAAGGCGATTAAGAACGATAATACGCGGTGTACAGTGATACGACGAGGACCGTCACGATGTGAGACCGGTACTTATCTTCCTACGCGGATCCCTTGCCCAGCGACTAGAATAATTATTTAATTAATACCCTACGTAGTGGCGGAGTCCACCTCCGCGCTCGGTCGATTTAAATCCCTCAGATTAATACGAAACCTTTCTTTTCTCTCTCCTTCTTTGTTGCAGGCTCCGTGAGGAGAGGGGCGACGCCGAGAGAGCGCTGGCTTTGGACCATAAACCCAGGGACCTCAGCTCGCACAATGGTAAGATCACACAAGTAAATCAATGCATGTATGTTCGTATATTTTAAATTTAATCATACGTATTAATTTAAAAAAAAAACGAATTCAAAGATTACATAAAAAATTGGTAAAGACTCTGATATTAGTCATCATTTACTGTAATTAATTTAACTTAATCAATTAGTTTAACTAATAACTCGCAACTAACATATGATATTTCTCATTAATATACAAATATCAACTTATAATTAATCGTATCGATAAATTGATTTTTTTTTTAATTTGATATATAATATCTAGAAAGTTTCTAAAAGGATGCTGTGAGTTATGTCGCATTACAGTTTCTAACGCTATTTCTCGTATTCCTATCTGCCTGTTGTAGTGCCTGTCATGGATTAAGTATGTAACGCGAGATTCTTAATCGTCAGAGTTCCTCCATGGAACATGGTCGATCGATGCGGACTCGAAGTCAAGTGACGCAGAAAGATTTTTGACCGCGACACGGCGCGCTCGAGAAAGCGTATTTGTTGTTTTCTATATTTCTACCTTTTCGTTCGTCCCTTCTGACCCGCGTGTGTGTCCACAAAGCAATCGAACGACGGGCATTTTCAGGATCTCGGAGATTAAATCCGATATCGGGTTACGGCTTGGTCGCGGAGCCCTACATCTCCTTCTGATTCTCTATAATATTATAATCCGTCTGATGGAACTCTTTACGCGACGGGCCCACCTTCGTCCCGGAACACATTTCGATTTCTATCTACGTTTCGCATTTTTCGACCTGTCAAATAATGTAAACGCAAAAATTAATCGCATCTGCACATACCGGTGCAATTAGATTTATGAGATCAAAGATCAAAGTCACATTTCACGCAAGAGAGACTCTCGATCGCCATGGATTTCGACTGAGACTCGCAGCCTTCAACGGCGGCCGACGTATAGAAGTCAATTTAAAAACGTAAAAGATGTACGATTCATTAGATCGCGTCGGGGAAGACCCGAGAAAACCGCGACCCTTCTCTTTCAGTGGCCAACGAGGTACATGGTGCTCTGAACGCGTACGTGTGTGAACGACCGAGACGCGCTGGTCTCACTATACATACGAGTATCCGTTCCGAGTACTCGTGAGATCACGAGTGGCCCGAAGCAATGCGTCAGCGCCGACGACCGTTGCCCAAACAGTATCTATCTATGTCAGGATTAAAATACTAGGATATCAAATACGCGCGCGAGCGCGCTTAGACGGCCGAAGCAAGGAAAAAGGGATGCGGAAAGAGAGAAAGAGGTGGTCGCATTGGGGGTAGGTGGACGATCGGGGGAGATTCGGGGAGTGGATAGTCCGCTTGTTCTCGTCTAAACGGGGGGATGCGCGGCGGTAAATAAAATCCATCAACTTGTCAGTTTGGTCGATGGACGCGCTTCTCGTTCTTCTCGTAACCGAACGTTCTCTGGGAAAGATTGACGCCGCTTTCCAGCGTTATCGTACCGAGTGGATACATTGTGATGTCAATTCGATTCTGATATACACCATGCACATATTGGATATATATATATATTTTACATACTTGATAGGTATACGAATTGTATCTTTAATTGATTTTGTCGCAATGTCTGTGTGTTTTCCAGGCTCCTCCAACGGTCACAGCCCGGTTCTAAATCTTTCAAAAACGGCGGGAAGTGGAAGCGTGGGCGAACAGTCCGGAAGTGAGGCAGGTGCGTCGCACCGTTCTCAAGATGACGAGGAAGAGGACGATAATCTGTCGGAGGACCTCGAGGATGACAATGAAAAGGATGAAGGTATGTTTTTCAGATGTGCGAGGCAATTGAACCGCAAGCGACAGGATCTGTGTTGTCTGCCATTCATAACTCTGATAAAGCGATCGGCTTGAAAGAGATCGTTCCACTGGCAATCAATTAAAACCGAGCGATAAAATGCGTTTCTTTCGCTTTTGACGAATGTCAAAAGGACGATTTCGATTTGAAGGCGCGAAAGAGAGAAAAAGAGAGGGGGGAGAGAGAGAGAGAAAGAGAGAGAGAGAGAGATGAAGAGAAAGGATTCGTGCTCGTGAAATAATTATATCGATTTTGCCGGACACGCCGCGTTTAAAGACGAGTTCTTCTAGACGACTGGCGGGTCAGGGCCTCTCATCCATCATCTCTACCGAGAGAGCGCGAGGGACGCTTCGGGATTCATCTTCCATCGCGCTCTGAGAAACGCACCGCAGCGGTTGCCAAGTCGCATGTAGAATCCAAACGTTTTTAATTGCTTCGAGTTTAGCGAAAAAAGAATTTTAATCATAAAAATATTAATTATTGCTTTTTTCAATTGATTTTTTGAGCACTCATTGAGCTTTGTGACACCCGTGTGCTTTGTGACATTGGATAGTCTTATTCTCTTATTGACTAATATCTCCAAAACGCGTGGCATCTACGTGAGAAGCGTCACTGTCGGGACAAAGCGATCATTAGACTTGTATCTTCAGTATTTAGTTTCATTTTTCTAATGAAAGATGGATCGAGAGATCGAATCTTCGTCTGAGCTTTACACCGCTATCCTTCCTTGCCTTGTTCCGGCGCTCCAAATTCACCGAAGCGTCATAATCATTTTGATTTCTAATCTACTCGACCATTGTCACGCCGGCATGTTAATTGGCCAGCCCAATTAATGGCTCGAGGTTCGCTCATAAAGTCGCGTAACTACGAGGGATCGATTCCGCATCACGAATGCGTTTCCAACGAAAAAAAAAAAAAAGATAAGATTTGATCATCTCGCGTTGTCTCAATTAATTTCGTTTCTTTCGGATCGCAATTTAATGCGAGGTCGAGTCGTTAGAAGAAAGCGTGCCTTGCGCGGTCACGAGTGATTTACGGACGAATCGATACATTTTGTAGTCTCGATGGGGGCGACGATACTGGTAAGAATTCATGGAAATCGTAAGATTATTCGTCATTCGTCCTTCGCGCTGCCAGAGGCTGGCTGGAAAATGTTGAGGACTGCCGCGTGCTCGCAAAATTAGGGGATCCCGCGTGTACTCCCGAATTAGTGGGCCTGTAAATTCCACGAAATACGCGAGTTAGACGTATAAATTCCGGGCGCGGGCCGTGTACGATGAGAAGAGGGAAGGGAATCAAATCCGTGTCTCGCAGCGTGTCGTACGCAATACATGGGTACATTTCTACCTACGATGCTCGCGGGTGATCGAAGTAGAACCACGTCGAACGCCCGTGGGAGTGTACACGCTTGTGGAATGCAGTTCTGATTTAATGAGACGTGCCACTATCTCTCGCTCTTGTTCTTGGAATCGGATTCACCGCGGATTCGTCGTCAATTTTGTATCTGACAATTCTCACTGAATTTTTCTCAGTCATTTTCTATTCGATTATCATATTTATTTGCAGTCCGATCGCAACTTTTGCCGAAACTGAACCGAAACACTCAGTTACATATCAATTTCAACCGAAACCAAAATTAAAAAATAGGAATTCTATAAAAGCCATATGTATAAACATGACTATATACTTGTATTATATACTTTTCCTTTATAAATATCATAATTTTTTGAAACAATAATTAAATTTCGGCCGAAATCGAAAACCGAAATTTCGGTTGTGTAATTTTGACTGAAAAATACACCGAGACAATTTTGTTTTAAAGTTAATACTTAAAAAAAAATAAACCCCGAAAATATGGTAGTTGTGGTACAATACAGTATTTTAAAGATTTTTACTATGCACTTCGGTAAAATTAATCAAATTTATTTTATACTTTATTGTAATTTTATTAATGAATAAGAGAGATTTACATTAAAATTTTTGGAAATACAATGTTGTCTCATGACTATCATATTTTCAGGGTAAACTGTAAGAAAAAATTCTCTCTCCTTGTACAAGTACTTCTTCTTCATAAACATCATAATTTAATTATATAAATAATAATTATACATATTAAAATTAATATTTATGAAGAAAAGCTATATGGTTTCAATCGATACTGACATGTAGTGAGTGTTTGTTTTCAGTTTCGGCAAAAATTTCGGTCTACTTATTTGCTTTATTGGAAGATAATGTTTCTTTTTTAAAGTCTCAAACAAGCTATATTGATGCAATAATATATGTTTTTTGTATGTTTAATTGAACATGCGACCTCAATCTTTTATTCAATTTGAAAATTTATTTATTTATGTTAACCTATCCAAATTACTCCGCTTTACTCTACATTGGCTTTAAGTGCATTGTATTGCATAATTTTCTTACCGTCTTTCTGATTGTGAACATTCTTCTCATGTTCTTGTCAAGAGATTCTAAAGGCAAAGGTCGAACTCATGCGCTTTCGCGGTGAAAAGATTCCGAGAGGATGGCGACTCTTGTCCTGATAATTGTAATGGGTAGGAAGATATAGTCGCACGGAATAATGCTGAAAAGAAAAAAGAGAAAGGATCGTGTGCGATTTTAGGAGAACGAGAGATCGAAAGGAAAGGAGAGGCGACGCGTTTTCCTATCAAAAGATGCCGGCACCAAAGGTACGCTGAGCGTTAAATCGGCCAATGGCAATAAGTAACCGATTGCCGAGTGGCGTTGTAGGTGCGCGCAGATAATTAAAAGACGATACAATAAACTACATATCGTTGGCCGTAAAGCAGCCGGGCTGCTAAAACCCACGGTGTGGGCCGGTACCACGAGCGATCACTTAAGCCTGGAACCCACGCAGACATCTTGTCTCACCGCCACTCTTCGGGACCCTGCGGCAATAACCATAAGGCATCCTTTATTCCGACGATCCCGCTGGATCTCTTTTGCTGATTTTAAAGAACGATGACCACGGACCCTTCCATAATGCGACAGAATATCGGACATGTGTCAATGCGTTTCGAGTAGAACGTGTTTCCAAGAAGTGTCTCGAGCGATTAGCCCAGGGTGGTCCAGTTTGATTTGCCTTTCTGGTTGTATAATATAATATTGATGATTCAATGTTTCAAGTTTGGAATTGATTTAATCGACAATTTTTTGTATGATTTTTTTTTGAAAGATACATATTATATTATATTAACGAAGAATATTAACTAAGAATTCTAATTTCACATAAACAATCGTATTAGCATCATATAAATTATATTGCTAGTCATCAATAATGATACTTCATTTCTTCCCGGTATTTCGCAGCGAGATGATAAACAGCCAGTTGGTCAGGACGCGACTAATCGTCTGAGGAACGTTGTGTAGCGTTTAATCTCTGAATTTAATTCGCCCACGTTGACATTAAATCAAAAAGTGGCGAAGGGTAACAAGTAGTCGTCGCGAGATTACGACTTTGAGACACGCACGCTGTATAAGTCTTAGTATGGGGCTTGCCCCTCGTACTTCGAACGTTGTCCGACGTTCGTTGGATCGAATTTATCATTGACGTTTTGCTCCCGACGTGGCGTTCTCGCCGAGGAGAAATCTCCACGCGAAATGAGCTCCGTACATTACTTAGACTAGACTCCGGCGTTTATTTATTATCAGAGAGAAATACTTTCTTTCCTGCCCGTTTTGTCGTCTCGAGGATATTCAGAAGGAAATAACGTGATAATTTTGCTTCCAGATTTGTCGGACGTGCCGGAAAACCTGCCATTGCCAGCACCGGGGTCGGAAAGTCCTCCTCAAGCCCTGAACTACTCGCAGATAGCCTCGGCGGCGGTCGCCGTGTCTCAGAGCGCCCAAGACCCCTCGGTCTCGAGTACGGAGACCCTGCTGAGGAATATCCAGGGCCTGCTCAAGGTCGCGGCTGACAACGCGAGGCAGCAGGAGAGGCAAATCAACTACGAGAAAGGTCAGTGGCAGGGCTTTCTTAAGACACTTGAGGGCGCTCTCCACAATTTCATTATCTTCCAGCTCTCCCAGAACCACATTAAGAGGCATTAGTCCCTGTTCCGTCGACGAGACTCCGCTACTCCTCCCCTCGTGCTCCTCTCTCTCTCTCTCTCTCTCCCTCTCTCCCGCTCTTTATCCAGTCTCATCTACCGTCGCCTCCCTCTCACGCTTCAACCTTTGCGCTTGACTCGCTTGTACCGCGTTAAGACCATGGATACGTGAAATGAGAATGATAATAGTCGGGGAGAGCTGGACATCCGAAAGTGAAGACCTGTAGCGTAAAGGCACGATGTAACGTGCACAAATAATATACATGAATCTCGCTTTTTATCTTAACATTAACTTTTAACGAATATCTTGATACTATTTATTGATGCTTTTCTTTGCGCAAAGTGTTTTAATATCCATACGATGAATCGCAGGATATTCGTAACGCATTATTACTGAAAAATTTTTATTAAATCGATACACTGAGCTCACCTTCGAGCTGCATCTCGAGAATGATTCACGTAAATATTTTGCGCAAGAAGCTGCTTGAAACTCCCCAATGAGATATTGCTCGCAAAAACGTCGTCTTCGGCGTGTTAAGATTAAATTTAAGTGTCGCCGTTGCCGTAGATAGAGTTTGTACCGTAGATTGGTTACGATGAATGTAGGCAAGACCCATTAAGAACGAGTTGGCATGGCGCGAGATGACGTGCAGCATACGACTTCTTTCTCATTAACGCGCGTGATAAATCGGTCGGCGTTATTATTAAATATGTTCGTCGCGAGATCTCGGAACGCCAGATGAGAAGAAAAAAGGAGGAAAGAGGTCGGCGCACAGAATCGTTTCTCACGATGTCGAGGTTGTTTTGCGATTGAAGCAAACTTAACTTAACAACGTAACAAACATTTCGATATAAATCATCAAGCCGTTTATACGATATCGATTGAATCTCGTTGTGATTTGATTTTGCAATGACAATTGGCAGAGATTTGTGTTACAAAGGAAATGACGATAACGCGTAAGTGGCACAATATATAATGTACGCGTGTATTCCTATATTAATATGCTATCATATTCATATAACATAGAAGTTTGCAGCAACATTGCTAGAACGTTAGCAGTGTTGGAATATTAATTATAATGTTACTGCAATATTACTCGAATCTATGCCGTACGGAATGTATGTATACATACATAAGTAAATGAATTGCCAATTATAGTCGTTAGTTATTACTGCTAGTATGTGATAGTTGTATTATCGAAGGTATTATTATTAATTGCGATATGTGTATAACTGTAAGGGATTTCAGGAACGTCCCGTAAATTTGGAGAAAGGAATGTATGAATAAAAAGTGCTACGTAAAATGTACACGTCAAGTTGATTTCAGCCGAGCGATCGCAGTTCTTCGATGTAATATTGGTGAATATGTATTAAAAAAAAAAAAAAAGAAAAAAAACACAAAATATGAAATCTTATTTTTAAAACAATTGTCCAATTTCGCTCACAAACTGTCGTCGATCGGCTATATCCACTTCTGTTTTAACATATCACTATCGATTATTATTGAATTATTATTGAAGTCTCGTATTCTTCGTGCCGATTTTCTATCATTTTTTAATTTGGGATATAAACATCGTCTAGTATATTAAATATATAGTATATTAAATAGTATATTAAAATCGTACTTAGATTGCTTTAGATACTTTTGTAAAATTACTCTCATTATATAGCATTAGAAGTACCAAGCGATTATTATTGACTATTTTTATTTTTTAAATTGATTATATTTTTTATGTAAAAGATAGGATTCTGAAATTTTTTTACAATAATTTTCCAATAATTACATTCTTTATACTGTTAAAATATTTGATTTTTTATCACTTTCCTTATTTTCATTATAATTTAATTGGCTGGTCCTGTTAGTAAATAAAAAATGTTGATACTTCTAGTGTTAAGCAACACCAGTTCAGGGATATGAAATCAAACTATCACATTTAGTGCCAAATATAGTCTCAACGCGCACAATCGGCGATTCGGTTCGGAAAGAACTGACCGACAAAAACGTATCGCAATCTTCAGCGAGACGAGCGAACTTTCGACGTACGAACGTTCCTTATCTGCGTTTTCGCAGATTTTAAGTGGTGGATCCCCATAAACGCGTCGATCCGATATCCAGCCGCGTCGAGTACCGGGTCGGAATCGCGCGTTTCAGCGGCACGTTTAATAAATTCCGAGCGAAACGTAACCCCGGGACTTTAATTACCCATTAGCCGATACAAAGTGTCATTTTCAGCCGTTAACTAATGCGTTTTGCTGCGGCCCTAACGTTACGCGATCTTAGCGGCTGTGGTAAGGCTTAAGGCAGTTCCTCGCGGTTGCATGTACTCGGTCGACTCGTAGGTTAGATTCTCGAGGCGGAGATCCGATAAAAAGAAATCGACGATGCTCCGTTCGTCGTGCTTCCTCACCCCTTGTCTCCACTCTTACTGTTCACTGCCACCCTCGCGACACAACGACTTAAGGAACAGTTCTCGACGATCGTGCCCTCCTACGTGCTACGAAGTGCACGAGCACGGATCCACTTGCATAATTCGTGCTTTCCTTTCGATGCTCTCAACGACATCCCGCTAACGATATTGCCGAAACCGTGGGTTTCCGTTAAACGCGAACGGAAACAAGTACTAACGAGCGGAAAAATGTTACACTAAAAATTTTTTAATTTCTTTTTCAGTACATATAAGGGTTCTTTATCACTTGCGGATTCACAGGGAGAGAGAAAGTCCTCCTCTTGAAGTTTCGTTTTTATTAAAAAATATTTATACAAAGCGTTATATATATTTTTGATATTTCTGAAATATTTAATCACAATTTCGATTTTAAACAAATTTTTTAATTTAAGAAATTCCTATGGGTATAAAAATATACATAAATTTTATTACATTATTTTTTTTTATATTATTATAATTTTAAATAATAAAACGTTTATGAATTATATTAGGTGTTGGAATTAATTCGTAGCGTTTTACAAGTGATGGGAAGTACTTTCATTAATGTATTTTTTAATGCTCATGTGAAAT